GATACAGAGAACATTGTTTTGGCATGTCAGACCTTACTTGGTTAGCAGACTGCATGTGTTGGTATCCTTTCTTTTTTTTTAACCAATTATTTTGATGCACTGCAAAAGAAATTCAGTTTATGAAGATAAATCTGAAAAATAGCTATAAAAAATTTACAGTAACATTAATCTTTCCGTATTCCCCTTTAAGCAACACTAAGCATTCACACCTGGATCCAAGGTAATTAAAAAGAGTGTTTTTCTGAAACTTTTTTAGTAAGGTGGTTTTCCAGCAAATTGCATTCCCAAGATAATGCTGTTGTGTTTTAAATTCATTTCCCTTCTTTAGTATTGGGTTATGTATGTGTTTGTTTTTTTAACACGAGAGCTGACTGTTGCTTAAGAAGTTTTCTTATGGCAAAAAAAAAAATGTAAATAATTTACTATGATCTGCATTTTGCCAGGAACTCATTTATTTTTAAGGTTATGACATATTAATAAGAACTTTTCTGTTTTTGTCCTTTATAATATTACATTAAAGTTGGTAACTGTTATTGGTACTTTTGAAATATTTGTATGCATTTGTTACCTTAAACATCTGAAAGAAGCACAAAAAAAGTAGATTTAGTTAACCCAGGGAAACATCAGTTTTTTTGTAGCTCCAATTTTATATCACAGTTTTATTTTCTTATGAAATCAAAAAATGCATTGATACTTATTAATGCAAATTCATTATTTAACATAAATATCGGAATAATCTTAAAGGTCTGAAATGAGAAAGATAATGACTTTTTTATTTTAACAGTATACTTCTTAGGCTCTCATTACCAGCTCTAAAAATCTTTTTGGAATAATTCCATATTCATAGTGTGTGGTTTAGGAACTATGTGTTTCATCACTAACCTAGTAGCCATGAGACTGTGTGTGTCTCTCCCTGCCTCCCTTCCCTCTCTCTCTCCCATCCCCCTTCCCTCTCTCTCTCTCTGTCTCCCTCTCCCTTTCTCTTTCCGGTAGGCCAGTTAGCAGTATTGTGTTCATAGTCTACTTTCAGAAAGACTTAATGAAAAGAAAGACAGCATGTATAGTTGACCAGAAATTAAAAAGGAATTTAGAGAACTTGGACTTAACGTAACTTAATGCCACCATTAACTTAGGTTTTGCCGCCAAATAATGCTGTAAAATTAAATCACTTTTAAACTCTTGGATGAAAGGTGCTATGTAAATGTAAATACAAAGGATTCTTACTCAAATACAACTATTGCACAACAGACATATTTAAAACTTATTCTCTAGATTTTGAAACATCTCTCTCCATCGTGACTCCCTAGATTCAAGTATCAAATTGATAATGGGCATCATGGCAGTCTAGAGATACTTGCATGTAAAAAATGTAAATTCATTTTTAGGTGGATAAATTGAAAGTAAATATAGAAGTTATGTTTTAGCCAAATACAGTAAGTGGGTAACTTAGATTTATATTAACTAGCATCTAATTTGCACAACTAGGACACATCCCAGGACAATTACTGAAAGTTGGAATTTAATGAGTAGGAAGTGGCCCAGTGAGGGTGAATCATACCACAGCTTGACCTCTCCAGAACACTAATGTCCTAAAATAGAGAACCTATTGACTTAAGCAGCACATTATTGCTTCACATAGAACATGCTTAGGGGCAGCCTATATAGTACTGAGTCTAAGGAGGCTGACCCTGAGAAAGTGCAGTTAGAGACAAAGGGGAAACACTTAAGACCATGAAAGTAGGAATATTCTCAATTATATTCATCACGTTTTTCATACCATTTCAAGAAAGGACTAGATAATAACCTCATGAATATTTTACTTTCTCCAAAAGATTCAGAAGCAAACTTAGTAGGAAGTCACTCCTTTCCCTTAGATAAACTGCTTCTGCCAAACAAAATAGTATGGCTACCTAGAAACTTACTGGGGCCACTTTCCTGACTGGGGTCTGCCATGCTTTTATCTGGCTGTGTTCTAAATCAACACCTAGCCCTCCCCACCCCCACCCCAGGAAACTGAAGAATTAATATACAGGGTAATAGCTTCCGCAAAGAGCTCCAATAAAGTGCTTCAGATCTGGCCATGTGGAAAGGTTTGGTCCACGTTTTTGAACTGGTGGTTACCAAAGAGTTCATGTAACAGGTTTGTATGTAGCACCTTTCATGCAAGGCATGGTAAGAGCCTATTAAAAAAATCACTGTGCATATTACAGAACTACAGCCACCTCACAAATGAAGTATTACAGCCTGCACTGTCTTAACAGTTTATGTCAGGAAGTGAAAAAGATACTGTACCAAATCTGGAATTACAATGAGGAGTAATAATGTATGCTACATGACTTTGTATTTTAAGTTACTTTTACAAGAAAATTGAATTTTTGTGTTTTTCTTTTCTGCTATACTTTGTCCTGAGATGTATTTTTTCTTTAAGCCTTGAATGAGTAATACAAAAGGAGCCCATTTTGTGATATAAACCTTGATGTACATGTTGAGATATTTGGACAATGAAAATGCCTTAAAAGGAATGCTTATGGATAAAGTTGCACTTATAACACCCTTTAACAAAACCTGATTTTAAATTGTCTTTTTCTTTTCTACTAAGGGTTCTCTTTCAATGTTTGCCATTGTACTTATAATTGTTATTAAATACCAAATCAAATAATATAAAAGCTGTAACATTTCCTTTAAAAATAATGGTACTGAGGGATCTGGAGTTGAATGGCAGTGATTATTACTTGGTAATACCTATTACCAGTCACAGGAAGCCAGTTCGTAACAAACCGTCATTGGTTTGATTTGTTTTTAAAAACATTTCATTATTTTTCATTTTAGTTTTTAACTTTATTACTCCTAAAAAATTAAGTTGGTTTAACATTCACTTCAACTGATTGATATAAAAATAAAACAAAGAGGTGATTTTTATAACAAGTGGTTAATAATCATTTAAAAATTGTAACAGGGCGCCTGGGTGGCTCAGTTGGTTAAGCGACTGCCTTCGGCTCAGGTCATGATCCTGGAGTCCCGGGATCGAGTCCCGCATCGGGCTCCCTGCTCAGCGGGGAGTCTGCTTCTCCCTCTGACCCTCCCCCCTCTCATGCTCTCTCTATCTCATTCTCTCTCTCAAATAAATAAATAAAATCTTTAAAAATAAATAAGTAAATAAATAAAAATTGTAACATATAATTTAGCTAAATATTATCTTTCCTTTCCCTTTGCTCTGGAAAACCTTTTTTCAGACCTAACCCATAACCTTGTTTAGATGATTCTTTCTAAATCTTTCAGGGATGAGTATTGGTTTGGGAAAAGAATGGAATCTTACCAGTTCTGTCAATCCCCACATAGTTTAAATACAATAATATATTGCACAAAGCAGTGTCTTTCATTTTCATTTATAGACTTTGGAGAGGCAGAATGTTAGAGGAGGCAACCAGTTGTGTATTCTGGGGCAGGTTAGTCTTTCTGAGCCTGTTTTCATTATAAGATGGGAAGGGCACTGTCCCCTGTCCTCAGTCTTTGATTCTATTCATTAAACCTTCATTTTATGTGCAAAGCAACCTAAAATTTCCTCTTAGAGATGTAGTAAACAGGCAAAAAGTAACATGGCACCTTAGAATAAGTTATCATTTATGGACAATATTTAACTCCACAACTCTTAAATTCATTCTTTATAGAAATTCTGCCGTGAGTAGACTTGTAGCTTCTAATCCTATATATCAAAAAATAACGTTTTTACTCTTATTTTGCCTTTTAGTGACAAATTGGTTACACTATCACTACCAGATGGAAGTTACTTTTGAGTGACCAAACTCAGTAAAATATGGTTACCTCACAACTATCCCATTTGCTTGTAAGAGAATTTTCATGATGAGATCTCTAGACTATTTCTGTAGTATAGTCTACCTGAGACCTTCAACTAATGAAGGTTTTGTTTTAAGCGAAAAAGTATGTTACTCCACAATTTTGAACTAGCTTCTATAGAACTGACAATATATATTCCTGAGTTCTTACACTGTTTCAGATGCCATAATTGAAGGGCGGGGGTAAGTAAAATTTAATACAGCCTCAGGGCAGAAAAAATTTTTTCCAAGTATGGTCACATTTCTAACCTCTCAAAAAGATTAAGCAAATCTTTCCTTAATCCTCATTCCCCAAAGATAACCACCATCAACAATTTAATATATTCCTATATTGCTTTTTATTTTTTCCCTTTATGTACAATATATGTATAATTTTATATATGCTGTTTTTGCAACTTGCTTTTTTCAAGTAAACACCCTAAAGAAGATGTAAGATAGTTAATCTTAACTAGCCTTAGTTTTGTTGTTAATCTACTCTTAATTGTTGAAGGCATTCCTGTAATGAGTAGTGCTCATGGGGGATGGGAGGTGGACTCTCTGAACTGACTAAAACTACCTCAATGTATCTTTTTAAAAGCAGCTGCTTTTTATAGGGCACCTGGCCGGCTCAGTCAGTAGAGCATGTGACTCTGGATCTCAAGGTTATAAATTTGAGCCCTACCTTGGGTGTAGAGATTAAAGTAAAAAATAATTAAAAAAAAAGCAACTCCTTTTAGATGAAACGTTCCTCCTAAAATGATTTAATCACCAGACCAAGGTGCTAAATATTCTTATCACTTTTAATGCTTTTTATAAATTACAAATAAGAAAAACAGCTTTCAGAAATAAATGTATTCTAAATATCAGCCCAATTAGTTCTTTTTATCAAAATTTAGTATTATGGGATCATGTCCTGTCTTCTTCACAAATGTGAGAAAGTCTTCAGGGCTCAAGCCCATGGTTGCAGCATTGGTCATTGGATGAAAGTACACCTTTTCATGTCCACCTTCCAAAAAAGCTGAATCCAGAACAAATTTCACATCTCCATCATCACAGAAGAGTGCCAAAGGTGTGGCACAGCCTTGGCCAACTTTTAGTTTTTCTAGCATGGCTGTTTCATCAGCAAACCGAAGATTTCCACTCCCAACACCTAACTGCTTGGCAAGATCATTTAAATTAATTTGTCTATCATGAAGAACGGTCACCAGCCAATAGCCTTTTTTCTTCTTGTCTTTAAGAAATAAGTTCTTACTATGTGCTCCTTTCAAATGTTGGATATGAGGCATCATTTCTTCAACTGTAAACACCTGTAAAATATCACATGAAAACTTCAAAAAATATGCATGTACACATACTCTGCTTGCTGGGTGAAGGTTAGGGAGTGCTCAATGCCCTGGATGTCACTGGTAGGGACCCATTCCCAGCCCATTAGAAAACACACCTTGCCGTTTCAATCCCTCATCTCGAGACCTCTTAGGCCAGTTCTCTTTTCCAATGTGCTGGCCAAGCACTCCTCCTAAAGTGTTTTTTGGTTTTTTTCTTTAAACTTTTGGTACTGAAAATCTACAGCAGCCAGATTCCTATTCCTTAGCATTCCATTACATCCAGACCACGTGACAGCCTCCACTTTACAAATATATAACCACAATGAGAGAGATCACGGGCAAGGAACGAGACCCCGACTAGTAACGTCAGAAGAGCTGGCAATGTGCACAGGTAAAGAAGGGGGAGAGTAAGTGTACTACATAGGGAAGAAGGTCAGAGAAAATGATACAGTTTTGATGTTAAATTTGTAAAGCTGAAGATTTTTAGCGTTTGCAAATCCTCACATCAATACATGAAATCATGTTCATACCAAACTCTCTAAGCTTGGTGTCCTGCTGTATGCATGATGCCTGATACATCGTTGACACTAGAGACGGTTTACTGCCTCGTAGCTTATCTACACCATAAACACACACTGACCCAACTTTACATGCAGAAGTTCTCAAAATGAAATGTGACCAAAGCGCTCCAAGAGGAAAACCCTGTTTTCTCACAATAACATCATAGTCCCGAAAGGCCTTCGATGTTTCTGTGGGTCCCTTTCGTGCTCTGGAACCTGGGAAATGTCCGAGAACGGACGTTTCTGCGGCACCTTACCGCTGGGGTATCTGGTCTTCACGGCCCCGCCCGAGAGACGCCGCAGCGGAGCCCACCTCTCCCGCAGGGGGGTCCCAGCGGAGGCGCCTCACCTCCGCGTGCTCCACGACCTCTGTAGGGATGGCTAGGGCGCCGAGCCGCTGCTCCAGCGCTGCCCGCAATTCCGCGCCCGCCATGCTGCCGTCGTGGCCAGAGGAGAGCCACGGGGCGGAGAAGCGCTGAAACGGGCGTGGCTTCCCGCGAGGCTGGCCGACTGGAGGCTAGGGCGGAAGTACGCGGAGGACCAGGGGGCCCCGGAAGTCCAGTGTGGCACCTTCCGGAGGCGGGCCCTTGCTGCGGTCGCGCGCTCTTCCCTCTCTCCTCCCCGACCCCCCCCGTCTCTCTGGAAGTCGCCTGCAGAGGAGGCCTGGCCCGAAGACCCGAAGGCGTTCCTTATCCCGCGTTCTACAGGAGGAAGACACGTGCTTTTTTGTTTGTTTTAAAGATTTTATTTATTTGAGAGAGAGAATGAGAAAGAGAGAGCACATGAGAGGGGGGAGGGTCAGAGGGAGGAGCAGACTCCCTGCCGAGCAGGGAGCCCGATGCGGGACTCGATCCCGGGACTCCAGGATCATGACCTGAGCCGAAGGCAGTCGCTCAACCAACTGAGCCACCCAGGCGCCCGACACGTGCTTTTTCATAGCCGCCTCTAATCCCGCTTCAGGTTCCCTAGGCTCAGCATAACTTCCATTTAAACCAGAATCAGGGTCACCTAACGAAATTAGGCGTAGGGAGTGTGGGAGAACGTCATGGAGAGGATGTGACCACGGGTAAGCCCCAGGCAGAGACGCTCCTTACCCTTTCCCCTGACCTTGAAAAGTACCTTTTGCGCACTGTTCCTGTACCGGGAGCCGTTTGAAGAACATTGCCTTGACCGAGTAATGTGTTATTGAAACCAACGGGACAGTTTTGTGCCTTAAATCCCCTTAAGGCCTCTGCATAAACTCAAAAGATTCTAGCGAGTGGGTGCAGAGATCGCTGTTTTGTAGCTGCCCAAGACAAGCTTCCTGTTAAGTTCTGTTGCTTATTAAACTTGCCCCTAGTCATTATAGAGTGGTCTGCCTCTTCCAGTCTCTCCTTGTTTAGGAAGCGGGGCAGTTAAAGATTTTAAAGAACTTAAGAGGTTTTTGAATCAGCTCCCTAGGGAGAGAGGAGGGTGCCAAAATGCCTATTCTTTTACGACTTTTCAACTTTTAATTTATAAATTACAATTTCACTTGACCTTTCCTGGAAGTTACCTTTTGTTATTATTCATGTACAAGTAATTCGCGGTGGCAAGCACAGCTCACCTTTTTTGGAGGCAGTTTGCCTACCTCTTGATGGGGGTTTTCCATTATCATGTGAAACCCTCAGTCAGCACTTTTTTCCACTAGGTTTCTTTCTAAAAATGAAATTAGAAAGCGTTAGAGAAAGATCACCCATTTGAAGATATGGCACATCCCAAATAATTATCCTTAAATATTTGAAGATGTTCAAGAAAACCCAAATCCGATCATGGTGAACTGAGAGTAATCAGGGGAAAGAAGAATTGGAATCTGATTGTAACCAAGAAAGGTGAGTATGTTCAAAAGTAGGAAACTAACCCAGGGTAGGATCTCCATGACAGCTACAAAAGAGGAACGCAAAGAGCCAAAATTGGCCGTGGCATCCCCCATATTGTCTAGGCAGTTGAGTTTTCTGACCTAGAAGTCTCTTTGGAAATGAACTGCCATCTATCAGTTATTCAAACTATGAATTCTCTCGCCCAGCACACCACACACATGCACACCCCAATAGCTAGTCCATCACAGTTCAGTTTCCCAAATCATTCCACTTCTCACCACCTCCATCACCCCAGCCCAAACTACTATCATTTCCCCACTTGGCTGACACTAATGTTCTCTTAATTTTAGTCCACCTGTGGTGGAATGACCCAAGTATCCTGCTCCAAGCAAGTCTTACAACCAAAGATATTTATTATAAAATGGAACTAGATCTATGATAAAAGAACTTCATATCGCTGTTTAAAAACTATCCTAACCCAGATTTAATGCAATATTCGTCAACATTGTATTAAATACAAAATAAATGCTATCTATCCTTGGCATAGTCCTTTGTCTTCAAGGCGAATACAATCTCAAATTTACACTGGAAACAACATGAAACATGAAATTCAAAGTGATCAGCATGAGCTTGAGGAACTAGATATTTAGTCGCAGAACTTGAATTTTAAAAAAATTATAGAAATCTCACAATTCTAGGAGAGGAATAGCATCTGATAAATAGTTTACTGCATTATTTTACAAACAGGAAAAGATAAGAAGTTTTGTGGCATTTATACAAGAACGTATTGAGGGAAAGACTCTTGTTATTAGGAAGAGTACGGATATTGGACAGAAAAGGACAGAATCTGGGAAAAAAGAGCTGGAAAATGGAGTTATGCCAGGATCCATGAAACCAGGGACGCTCATCTAAGTCAGCTCAAAGTAAAAGAAACAGTTGCAACTGTAGCCTACCTAGCAAAGGAAATATAAAGGCCAAAATATTTATCAACACCATGGGGATTGGGCATCATGGCATTTGTTAGATGAATGTTGGAAATCCCTATTATTGAGTGAAACAAAGGGCAATTCCAGAACAGGTAAATTGAAAGCCATCCTAGGAAGCTGTACATGCCCCAAACATGTGAAACAATAGGGAAAAGTGCTTGCTGCAATCTATGTCTCTTCAACATATCTTTTGGAACATCTCTATGTGCCATGCTTTCTGCCCTCAAAGACATTGAAATCTAGCAGAGAGGACTGAAACATTCAGAGAATAAATCCAAGAAAATGTGACTAGTGGCACGATGTGGATGCTTTAGGAGCCCAGAGGAAGGGCGCTTAAGACTGCGTTGGTGCATCAAGGAAAGCATTAGGGGAAGATGGCATCAGTTTGAAGAATAAGTAGGACTCTGCCAGGAAAAAAAAAAAAAAAAGTGCTCCAGCTGAGGAAACCCCAGAAGTTGAGAGTTGGGGGTGAAAAAGCACGGTATGTCCCTGGGCAGTATGATTTGCTGTGACGGTAGAGCAGAATGAGAGGCCTGTCAGCAGAAGACAAGGCTAGAAGTAGGCACAAGGAATTGTACCTGCTACACTAAGGAATGAGGAATGTCCCACCATCAAGGGCCATGTTCAATAAATTAGGTGACATCTTCCTAGGGAATTCTATGTTCTCAATCATGCTCTCAATATGAATATCTAGGGAAACAATTCAGTAAATGGAGAAAATGAATTATAGGAGAGGGTAGACAACATGGCCCCAATTTTGCTTCAAAATATACATAGCTGTATAACAGTAACTCAAAAAACTAATTAGTATTTGCATCTTTCCCTAATCCTACTCCACAAAAATTGGCTTCTAAAGGCCTATGGAAGAGGATTCTTACCAGGTCAGAAGAAGATGGAGGTTGGTTCCTAGAATAAGAGAGGAGAAAGCAGCTGGATCTAGGAGGAAATTTAAGTTTCGTCAGAGTCAGAAAAGAAGGTGAGGACTGGAGTGGGAAGGATGGGAGAGTAGAGAAGAGTCCCTTTCTTGGCACTTTGTCCCTCCAGTGGGTAGCAAGATGGGAACCTGCTGTCAGTGGAAGGCAGTCTACCTGGGGCAGCGCTGCCTAGGCAGATGAGACACAAGTACATCTAAGATTCATTGCTCAATGAGGAGCCATGACAAAAAAAGACAATAACCCCACAGTCCAGTTCCCTGGCTCCTGCCAAGTCTCAGGTTCCTGGATGATTCCGTGGAGAAGGGAAGAAATCTTAGTGATAGCCTCAGGTTTAAGGTTCCTTGCAGCTCCAACATGTGGGGACATGAGCCATATTATATTCAACTCAAAATATGATTGAAGATCAGCTATGGGCTAAAGGGAAAGTGGGGAGCAAAACCACACAGAGACCCTGCCCTTGTGAAGCACACAGTATATTAATTAGTCAAATAATCACAGAAACAAATGTTAAATTGCATGGGTAGCAAGTGCTAAGAAGGACACATACACAATGCTAGGAAAGTCCATAATAGAATCTCACCTCATCTGGGGGAAGGAGTGGGTCAAGGAAGGCCTCTCTGAGGAAGTGAAGCAAACTGAAATCTGAAAGATAAGTAGGAATGAAGAGGGCAGAGAGAGGAGAGAAGAGTGAACCAGGCAGAGGAAACAGCGTGACACTGTGTGCAAGGGTGGGAGGAAGCAAATCAAGGAAGAGGCATTGAAAGATGGTCAGTATGATTGGCATCCAACAAGCAAGGGGAGGGCAGTAGGTTATGGCTCCAGTTCCCACACACTAGAGCTGGGAACTAAAATTCTCACCTGTTAAAAATACATTTCTTAAAGTGGTTATCTCTGGGGATGCCTGGGTGGCTCAGTCGTTAAGCGTCTGCCTTCAGCTCATGTCATGGTCCCAGGGTCCTGGGATCAAGTCCCACATCAGGCTCCTTGCTCAGCGGGGAGCTTGCTTCTCCCTCTGCCTGCCACTCTTCCTGCTTGTGTGCTCTCTCCCTCTGACAAATAAGTAAATAAAATCTTAAAAAAAAAAAAAAGTGAAGTGGTTATCTCTGGCTAATGGAACTGTGGGTATTGTAAAAAAATTTTCTTTGTATTTTCTATCTTCTGAAAATTTCTATGTTTCTATGTATTTTTATAATGGAGGGGGGAATCAATAAGTTACTAAAAATAAAGAAATATAAACCATGTCTCCACAAGTAAGATCACATGAGAGTATTTTTAACACAGGCTTCAAAAGAAAATAAAGTTAAAATGTAAAAAAATTAATAAGTGGGCAGACTGAATTTAATTACCTCCCAATTAAAATATGAAATAGATGAAAACATTCAGTTTTCTTGCCTGGAGAAATATTGGTTTCATACAACATAAAATGTGTGGAGTAGATGACAGTTGATTAAGCAGAGAAGTAGCATGTTTCCCTTTTGTTCCCTTTAAACACTCATTTAAAATTGGATGGTCCTAAGGAAGCTTTGTTTTAAAACTCAGAGGACTCTCAGTTCTGTTAAAAATTATCCAAAACCTGGAAATAGTGAAGGGATTACTGCTTGCCCTTCCAGTGTTCTGCTGGGATTTGTTTAGCACACACTCCTGGGGATTCTCTGAGTCTCTAGGAATGGCCAGCTTTTTTGACTTGGTATCTTTTTATTATTTATTTAAATTATTTAAGTATTTAATTATTTAAAATAATGTACTAATTATTTAAAATACAGTTATATTATTTTTTAGTATACAGGTATTGTACAACTCTGTAAGGGTAGATCTTTTTTTTTTTTTTTAAAGATTTTATTTATTTATTTGACAGAGAGACACAGCGAGAGGGGGAACACAAGCAGGGGGAGAGGGAGAGGGAGAAGCAGGCTTCCCGCGGAGTAGGGAGCCCGATGCAGGGCTCGATCCCAGGACCCTGGGATCATGACCTGAGCCGAAGGCAGACGCGTAACGACTGAGCCACCCAGGCGCCCCTGTAAGGGTAGATCTTAATGTGTGGAAAACTGATAGTAATATAAATGAGTTTTGTCCCATTGAAAAGATAAACCCAAAAGTTACAGCTTTATCGTGCTGTAAGATATTAGCCAATTTCGTATCTATATTAGTAATCTTGTTCAAGCATTCATTCTTTCAGCCACTGTAAATACTTGGCATTCCTCAATTCTCTTTGAAGGAGGCTTACCATCTTGTTGGTTCTCTTGTTAATGAGTGAAATACATCTTTAGACACATGATCGCTTTATATTTAACATTTTTAAACTCTTCAAAAATAATACTCTAAGAATTTAACCTTCTAAATTTTGTAATGAAGATACTGATCACCAGAAAAGTTAAGTGTCTTATTCAAAGTCTTCATACTCACCGGGAAAGAGATAGGACAAGAATGTTGGAATAAGAAATGTAGGTTGGTAAGGGGGTACAAAAGTTCTAAGATGAGCAAGGTCTGAGGACCTAATGTGTAACAATGTGGTTCTAGTTTATAATGCTGTATTGTATAACTGAAATTTGCTAAGAGAGTGGAACTTAGAAGTCCCCAACAAAAAATAAATAAATAAATATAAGTAAATTTATGAGGTGATGGATCTGTTAATTAACTCAATGGAAGGGGAATACTTTCACAATGTGTATGTATACCAAATCATCACATTGTACAGTTTAAATATCTTAAAATTTTGTCAGTTATACCTCAGTGAAGCTGGAAAGAATGAAATTAAAGACTTTACAGCAAAAAGACATTTTTAAAGAGATGTGATTGTGTATGAAGAAATCAGTGAAGTTGAGGAAACCCACAGAAAGCTTTGTGTAATTTGGTTGCTAGTGATAAAGAGAGAACTATCTCATTGTTGATGAAAATCCATTGTGGATATCTTTTTTTTT